GATCTTTCTCCCCCCGCAGCCGCTCACACTGGAATGCAGTCTCCTTCGCCTGATTAGCTCTGTCTGTCAGTGGGGTGAGTCCCTCTCCTTCAATCAGTAACCTGAGCTGGTGTTGAAGACATGCTGCATCCCTCCTTCCTGTGGTGCTGTTGGGTGCACAGCACTGCACTGTGAGCTCTGCGGGTGCTCTTTGCAGGGGACAGAAGCCCGTTCCTCTGCCTCTGTGGTCATATGTTCAACCACAAGGCATTGCCACAGATATCAGCGATAGCCATGGATCAGGTGGGAGGTTGAATTTCCCTTACATGTGGCTTTCTGCTTGGAAACAGGCTTGTGGCCAGGGTACAGAGCAGCCCTAATGTTGCTGTGTACAAACCTCAAGCTGTGATCAGCTTGAAGTTTGTACGTCTGGCCAGCAGCCTGGTGTGCAGTGCAGGAGCCAGACCTGGCTGTGGTATAAAGCAGTGCAGTTGTATCACCCAAAGCTTTGTCACCCACCTCCCGTACTTAGATTCCTGCTCTGCTTGTGCCTTTCACAGCAGTTTGCCTCCTCGCTTTGTGGCCTGAGCTGATGTTTGAAGTTTGCTCAGAAAGTGGCTGCTGCTCCACTTTCCATGTATGTCACTGTGTAGCACAGGATGTACAGAGGTCATATTGGGTAAAACCATTGGCTTCTCCCCCTGTCTGATGAGAAAGAAAGGCACGAGAGAGGGATGAGCCTGTGCTGTCAGGAGCAGTTGGGCTCCTTGATGCTCCAGGTGGGCTCTGAACAAGCCCAGCCGGATGCAAGGGAAAGAGCACTCACTAAGCTGAGGATCTCACAGCACAACCCCTGTGCCAGCAGACAGCCACTTGCTGTGCATTGGCAGCAGCACACGCACACTTGGCTGCCTCTGCCAGTGCCGTGTGCTCGTAGCAAGGGGCTGTGCTGCCAGTGCGGGTGCTGCTGCATGGCAGGCACTGTGCACGAGCCCCCAGCTGACCAAGTGCCCTCTCTCTGCTGGTTGAAGCCGTTTCTGGGGAGTTCTCCTGGAGGGATTTTATCCCAGATCTTACTTAGAGCCAGTAGTACCTGCTGCCCAGAGCACCGTGCTGGAGACGTGAATCCTTTCCCTGGCATTCTTGTCTCACAGGAAGATTTTGGGGAAAGTTGCTTTTCCCTGCTGTCTGTCTCCCCAGGGGACAAATTACTCACTGCTTTCATTAAGTGCTGTAGCAGTACAAGCGCAGTGGGGTGGTGGCAAATGCTGTGATCACTGCTAAAGCCTGCTGCAGGGAATGCATCTGGGTGGGCTGCCAACAGCCATAGCGATCACTGCTCCGAAACGCCTGGCTGGGAGATGTGACCATTTCACCCTTCTCATTGTATTAGCATAACCTTTAGCATGCAATTTCCTGTTGTTAGAGCTGGCGGAGGCAGGACAGGGGCTGCTGCCCTGCTGTAGAAATCCAATGCTGAGGAGCACACAACACCAGGAGAGAACTCCGTGAGATCAGGCATGTGACTAACAAATCTTTAACACTTCAGGATGAGCATCCTCCACGCACAGATGGGTCTTAATGCTGTGCTGTTGGACACGTGTTGATATGTCTGCCCAAGGTGAAGGTACCTGAGGTGCCCAGATCTCACAATGTCAAAAAGGTTCACCCAACCCCTGCCTCAGATACGCAAGTCTGACTGCTGGCTTTATCTGCTTTTGGTCAGGGAAGGTCCTTGGACTGCAAGGATTCTTCTGGTGGCACCAGGGCCTGTCTCCTTGCCCTGCCCCAGCTGAAGCCTCCCACGATGTGAGGTGCGGAAGCACACGTGGCTAGGATAGCTGGTGACCTCTGTCTTTCCCATTTCTTTCTAGTCCTGGACGCACAACATCCAACGGGAGAAGGAGTTCCTGAGGAAGCTGGTGAAAGCCCGAGTCATCACGGACCTGACCAGTGGGATCTGAGTGGCTGCAGCCCCTGCCTCAAAGGGAGGAGAGGAAGACGCACGCTGCGGCTCTGGAAGCAGGCACTGGCAGCCCCCCACAAGAATCCCACTTCCCTGGAGACACACAGAGATGCCCGGGTGCTCTGGGAAGGCCCTCTCGCATCGCCGGGCTGCAGGAGGGTTGCATCTGCTGCCTCCAGTTCTGGGTCTGGCAGGAGGCGGGCGAGGGGCTGAGTGGGCAGTTCTTGAACTCTGCATCACAGACAGATCTTCTGTGTCCAGAATTAAACAGGAAAGACTCAGGAGAGAGAAGAAAGGTTTGTGAGTAAAGCGATTTGTGCCAAATGGGAGGTGACGCTGCTCCGAGGCAGCAGTGCCTGAATGTACAAAGTATTATTTTTTAAAAGAAACTCTGCTGAAATCATCCTAGAATTACCAAGGTGCAAAGCAAAGTCTGCTTGTGCACAGCCCTGCAAAAAGCTCAGCCTCTCCACGCTCCATCTGCATTCTCACTGCCCTCAGACCTTTCGCCAGGAAAACAAATCCGTCCAAAACGTCAGTGTTGTTGGTGCTGCTATAATTTAAAGGGAGGTTGGCTTTCCCTCGTTCTCCATTTGGAGCTTCTCATTGGAGATGAGCACGGGTTTGTTTTTCTGCACTTTTACTCGCTTCCTATGTAGAAGCGGCAGCAGCAGCCACTCACTAGGCTGCGTTTTCCATAGCTGTTTGCTCTGCCCTGACAAGGGAACTGGTGGCTCTCTGCCTGCAACAGACCCACCATCCTGCCCGTCACAGCACTGCGGAGTCCACCTCGTTGTGCTCAGGGCTGTCAGGTCCATGCTTGCTGTGCAGAGCCCTTGTGGAGTCCGTGCAGATTGGTGTCACCATTTCTGGACAGCATCCTGCTTTGTTTTTGTGGGGGAGATCAGTGGTTTGTTTTTTGGAAGGAGGTCAGATGCTGTGTGAGGATCTGAAGCTTTGCGTATGAAGAGCAGGCCACCGAAGATGTGTTATGTTCCGGACTCGATCATGTTCCCTATTTAAGTGACTTGTGACCTCAGCAATGATGGAGCTTGCTGGCAAGTGTGGGGGCCTGCTGGGAACCCTCGCCTTCTACTTGGCCCCAGCTCACTTCATGTCCAAGCTCCTCCTGTGCTGCTCAAGCACTGCTGCTCCTCCTGCTCTCAGGAGCACGTCCCTTCCTTTGCTGTCTTGGTCCCAAGATGCAGTATTTGCACATTTGATTTGTGTACGTATTTCAGAGGGGCTGGAATAAACTGAGCGCTGTGGCTGAGTGCAAGGACAGCAGGATGATCTCATCCACCTGGAGAGCGTGGGCAGGAGGGGGACTGCCGAGGGAAACCGTGCTGTACCCTCTGAGCCACTTCCCTGTGTCAAGGCCACCTCTGGGGTTGGTGGAGGTGATCCTGCAGGGATGCTGGCTGGGTCATGGTGCTGTATCTGGCATAGTCCAAGGACTGCAGCTTGCCTTGCTCTGAGCTGAAGGGAGAACGTGTCCCCAGTATGAACAGGAGATGCTCAGAGAACGGCTTGCGTGGGCCTCCTTCCCACTGACTTGCCAGGGCTAAGACTCAGGAGTGTACAGAAGAGGCAGGCAGGGATCCAGGGATTACAAGCTGCAGGAGGCAGAGGGATGCTGGGAGTTTCACCCTTCCATTCTCCTTCCAGTTTCCCTACTTCTGTCCCCCTCCCCTGCCAGGCAGACACTCCCTGCTGCCTCAGGTACATGCTCACCCCAGGATGCTCCATGAGGTGTCCAGCCCAAAAAAGATGGATTTTCCAGCAGATTTAGAGCATCTGCTGTGGCAGATAACTCACTTGGGTATTCTCCCTCCCTTAGCAATTCTTCTGTGGCAGTCTGGTCCCAGGAACCATCAGCAGCAGAGGCTCTGCCACAGCAACAGTGCAGGGGCCTGGGCTGGACCTGGCTCTGAGCTGAACCTTAATGCTTGAACTGAGTCTTCAGCTGCTGTGGGAGCCCCAGGGTGGTGCTGGGCCCCATCCACATGCTGCAGGAGCTGAGATGCCAGAGAGCAAGGAGCTGCAGCCAGGAGGAGGGTGAAGAACCTTTGGTGTCGGTGCTGGGTTCCTCACTACCACCAGAGGTGCTGTGGAGGGAGCCCCATGGAGACCTGTGATAGCATCAGTTCGATTCAGTTGGTTTTATTAAACACTACAAAGCTGTGGGGCACCATTACGTTCCAGCTCACTGGCTCCAGGCCCATGGAGGAAACTCTGCTTTCCCTGCCATCCCAGCTCCCCACCACGCCTGGGGACAGGTCCTGATGGGAAGCTGTGCCTGCTGCCTGGGGAGGTGACTCTGGGCACCCTGGTGGGGCACCCAGGAGCTGAGCACATGGCCCAGGGCCACCTGCAAGAAGAAGGAGAGAAGATGGAGGTGCTGGGGGATCACAGTTCCCTCCATCTCACTGTCTCATTGACATTGGTGAGAGGAGGGCAGCCACAGAACATCCACTGGCCAGGTGCTGGGGGTGCTGCTGGCCCGTTCCACCTCCCATGCAGGAGTTTCACTCCTGGCAGCTGCTCCTTTGGCTGCCTCCTCGCGTGCACCTGCAGCCACCTCCTGCCTTCCGAAACGCAGCAGTCCTGCCAGCTCGGAGCGGTGCACGGGTCAAGGCAGGGTCAGTGGGACGGATGCGAGTCTCGGCCTCTCCCTCACCATGACTCACCTTTTTCAGCTCGGAAAGGAGAGCCCAGGGGAATTCTCCAAGGCCTAAATATAGAGCGGGGTTGCCTGACAGCTCTGCCACGCTGCCGTGCAGAAAGGCCATTGAAGTGGCAGGGAATCTGCCAGGGGAGAGGTGGGGACAGGGGAAGCCCCATGCCTGTGGCTGTGGCTGTGCTGCTGGTGCAGGGCTGGGGCTGAGGACTGCATCAGGGCCGGAGCCTGGTCCTTTGATGCAGGCCATGCAGCCACCTCCCAGTTCTGGGCTCCTCTGCAGCCCGTGACACAGGTGACACAGGTGACACAGGGACCTGCTCTGAGTGCGGTGAGCTCACCGGTACTGTGCCACACTGAGGTACAAGAACTCAATGAGTTTTTAAAACTAGTTTTAGTTTCTGCAGGTTTTTGTTGTTTGTTTGTTTGTTTTTTTAATTTCCCCTCTAGGCAGGGAGGTGGGAGTCTCGCAGGCTTTTCAAGCCGGCTTATGTCACATCAATTCAGTCATATCACAGAAGCAATAAAGCTATCAAACAAGCTCCACTGGCCTCTTTCTTCTGCTGCCTGTGGTGGGCAGAGGGATTCCCCGGCTCAGGCTGCACCCATTGCCTTCATTGCTACCTTTTCCTCCTGCCTTGTGACTGACGGCATAGGAGAGGGCTCAGCATTGATGCACATCATGTGTATTTCAAAGCTGTTTGGTGTCCCAGCTGCCGTAGTCCTTCAGCTGAGTCCTTCTTTGGGTCTCCTCACGCTGGGGCTGCTCCCAGCCATGCAGCCATAGGGCTGGGTGCAGCACACTGAAGGCAGGTGTCCAGCCCACTGACCTTCTCACCGCAGCAGAGTCCAGGAAGGAAGCAGTTTAGGAAGCCGGGGGCCGATCTTGTGACCGACTCCAACACCTGCCAGGGCCCAGAGGGAGGATGTGACCCCTCCTGCAAACCCTGGCGGTTCTGGGGAGCTTCCAGAGCCATGGGACAAGTCTCATTGCTTGGGATGGCCGCTTCCAAGTGGGTGACAGGTCTGCCAGATGCAGGCGGTGGCTTCCTGCCAGCACTGGTGGGACAGTGCAGGGACAGCCGGCTCCCAGTGTGCGGCTGCAGGACACAGATCCCTTCCAGTGAGGAGATGCACAGATCACTCCTTCCTGTTCTGCTCTTCCTGGCCCTATAAGCAGAGCCACTGCTGCCACCAGCCTGGGGCAGCCCAAATGTGCTCCCAGGAGCACAGAGCCTGAGAGCGGGGCGTATGGGGTCAGCCAGGTTGGCAGAAACAGACGCTGCTGGTAGCAGATGTCCCCAGAAAAGCCACGTCGCCACCAGACAGGGACGATGCAAGAGTCCGGCCCATCTGCGTCACAGCTCTCTGCCACATGTGTTCTGTCACACCGCGTCGTCTGCTGGAGCACGTCAGCCCCATCTGCCTCATGCACGGGTGGCACCTGCAGGGACAGACGTCAGAGCAGAATGGGGACATGGGGACAGCCCCAGCCTTGCAGGGCCGACGCAGCGGTGATTTGGAGGCAGCTACTGGCAGCAGTTGGGATTTGGGCACAATGCTGGAAAGTGCCACCCCCTGCCACTAGGGTGTGACTGGGCTGACATTTCCAGGGGTTGAGCAGGGAGCCAGTACCCCTGGTTTCTGGGATATCAGCCACAAAGGGACAGGAGAGGACAGAGGCTGGACACTGCCATTCTGTTACAAGGGACACCGTGGGCACCATACAGGTTCACTGGGCACCCCTCTGTTCTACGCCCATCTCGTGGGCATCTCCCCAGTGTGGACACAGCTCTTGCCCTACAGACACAGCCAGGCACCCCAGGGCACAGCATTCCACTCGTGAGCACTATTTCCAAGTGGGCATCCCCATCACCCCACTCTCCATCCCTGCAAAGCGGAGCAACCCATTCCCTGTCCCCCATCCCGGAGGGATGCTCCTGTACCCCCAACCCTGCTAAGAGGCAGCCGTACTCCCCGCCACATGCTGGGGGCAGCACCTCCGTGCCCTGCACCGCGTGGCCGCCTGCAGCAAGAACAGCTTAGCCCTCACACTACTCGACAGGTGATGCCGCAGAAGGGAGCGGAGCTGTCATCCCCGCGCGGGATAATCCGAGCAGACGAGGCCGGGGCCGGGCTGCGTCCCATCGGCCCGCTCCGGCCCGGGGAGCACGTGCGAAGCGGGGCCGAGCGGAGGCGGCCCTGGGATTTGGCACGTTCGCAAGGAGCACTCGAGAGCCCCGGGATGGACGTGGAGGGCCCTGGGCGGTGACGTAAGGACTCGCACGGGCTCGGCTCGGCTCGCCAGCCGGCCCCCATGTCCCCCGGGCCTGCGGCGGCCCCGGCGGAGGGAGGCAGGGAGCGGGCGGAGGTAAGGGCCCGCGGGCGGGCGGACTCCTCCTCCGGACGCGCACGCGAGGCACACGGTGGCCCGAGGTGGCTCGGGTGCGTGGGACGCGCCGTAGGGACGGTCCCCGCTTGCCTCCCCCCGAACCGACGGGCCGCCCCTTCCGAGGGGTCCCCGAGTGCGAGGGGCCCCCGCGGGGCTGCTGAGAGTGAGGGGGATCCGCGGGGCTCCCCCCGACGCCGTGGGGCTGCGGCCACCCCACGCGCGGGGCTCGGTCCCCACCTCCCGCAGCGCCAGGGGAAGGGCTGAGTTCTGTCCAGGGCTGTCCGTGCGTCCGTGCAGCTGGCAACGCTCTGTCGAGGCGTCCGTCCGGCGGCCCGTCCTGGGGGTTCCGTCTGCCCGGTGATCCCAGCGGGTCCCGGTGCCGGCGCCGGCGGCGCGAGTCTCCCTCCCAGCTCGGGAGCTGGTGCGGATCCCGGTACCGA